AGCTAGAATCCTGCTCAGAGTCAGGGTTCCCAGTCTCTGTAAGGCAAAGCAAGCAATGGCCTCAAGAGAACCAGCTACTTCAATGGTGAATTGCCTAGGTGAATCCCCTAGGCATTATGTGTGCTCCAAGATGGCATGTCCAATACACAATAATTACTCAGATTAGAGATTGAATGTTGAAATACCCTAAGTCCTGCCAAGTGGCCGTGAGTCACACATCCAAAATCTCCCATCACTGCCCTAGGAGAAGGGACTAGGCAGAAACAAAGATTTGTCCTTTAAAACTCTTTCTTTGGGTCCAGGAGCCAGAAGCATCTCTGGGGATAGTAGGCCTGATTTTCCTCTGACACATAAGATCCCTGCTCCCTATGGATAGTCGTCAGATATTGAACTCACAACTAAAGTTGACTAGGGAGACATCTACTTTCCCCTCAGTTGTGCCTCTGTTTTAGAAAGTTCTTCCCACTTGGAAGAGGCCTCAACCTCAGCCAGCCCTTGGGTTCCCCTCTACGACCCACATCATCTCCTTGAGTTCTTTGATGCAGTTTTGTTTTGAGGCAGGATGTTCTGTGGTGCATTGTACAGCAGCCGGTCCCTGAGCACACACTGCTGAGGAAAGCCACCCCCACAACCCTCACTTTCACAGCATCTGCCTTGCCAATTATTAGTACAATGGACCAATTTTTATCCTGTGTTGCTCTTGGGGAAAATATGCAGGCTAGGGAACTGGCCTAGATTGGAAATGGAACAGCAGAAGTTGCCAATTAACATGAGTTCCTTTTTTGTATCCCCTAAAGAAGTTAGTCTCTAGGGAGAATTTATAAAAGGCATGATCCCAGGACCTCTAGGAACTCCTTAGATGACTCAAATCTCTTGGAGTTGGTACAAATGTCAAAAGTCACTTGGTATAACTCTCTGTCCAGTGCTTGAATCCCTTAGATGACCTCATCAGCTTCTTCCTGAATACCTTCATGTTTGGGGAACTCACATGTCCATGGCAGGGCATTCCATGTTTGGACAATGGAAAGGTCTTCCTTTAGTTGAATCAAATCCCTTTCCATAACTTCCTCACTTTGATCCTAGCTAGAGAGTGAGCATAGCCAGCCACTCAATCTTCACTCCCAGGAAATAACCAATCATCAGAAAAATGGCTCATTGCTCAAACCATTAAGTGTTGGAAAAGCACAAGAGAAAGACCATTATAGCAGACAGGTTAATAGATGGAAGAGGGGCTGGTCTTTCCTCATGGCCCTGAAAGGCAAAGTCTGGTTCCAGAGTTAGCAGCTGGAAGGCTTGCAGCAGCCCCTAAAACTCTAGTTGTACACATATCAGAAAATGTCTAGAAATCCTGTGGAATGTAGAAAGGAGCATAAGTTGCAGCCTTTGCTATATAGGAGTTCACACTCTCACTTCTTATCTTATCAGGAAGATAAGAAGGAATGGAAGCATTTGGAGAACCCTGAAACTTAGTCCTTATTTAGCAGGCTTTAGGTGAGGGGCAGAAGTCTCGGTACAGGGATGTGTTATGACCAAAGGATGTGTTATTTGACTTTTCCCTAAAACTTTCTATGTAAGTCATTTCAAAACCTCCAAGTTTATTTGCCTCAGGCCTGGCTCAAACCTCCTCACAAAGACTCACAATAGATACACATTCTTGAAAGGGATGTTGGCTCAGAAGCACTGAGGGAGTCTGGGACAGTCCCGCATTATGTGGGAAGAGCACAGAAAAATATGAAAAAGAAAATAAATCTCCTTCCATGTGACAGAAGCAGCAAATAAGAAAACAGGTTAAGGAGAACAGATGAAAAGGGGGCTTATCACCATAACAACAAGCCCAACAATTCTGAAGGATAGAATTTTTTGTTTTTCTTTTCACATGTCATTCTTCTCAGTACTGTCACTCTCTTTCCCCCCGCCTGGTGGAAGACAAGTTGTGACTTTTTCACTCCCACCAACAAGATGCCTGGCTTTGGGAAATGCAGCTGCTATGGGGTGGTTGATAAATGTGGTTCCCAGAGGGGTGCTCAAAAGATTCAAATTCCATATTTCCCCTTTCCCTGGTCATATCTGGGAAGCTTGTAACCTGCCTGTGAAGCATGAATATAGCTGTTTGTATTCAAGTCTGTAAAGAAGTACCCTCTTGTAGGAACATGATAGACTAGAAGAGGAATCAGAGGTCTGGTCCTCAAATAAAAGGGATTATTGTTTATCTCTTAAAATACCTCATCATATTCCAACTGAGTGAGTCAAAAGAGAGTCAATAGGGCAAATTAACAGAATACCAAGGCCTTGGGCCTTCTTGAAAGAATTAAATTTGGTGCTATCAAAAAGCTAATGGCACACATAAGCAACAGCATAAAACCATATCTACATGTAAACTCAACCATATGGGCTAAGATGACACCAACACCAGCCCTTCATTCTACACCCTATCATATTGTGTCAAATTTGGACAATTGTGCTAATCTAAGTTTGCCTTCTGATATTGGTTGTGATAGGACTCAGGTGCCCTGTTCAGTCCAGAGTATTTCCTGACCCCTGCTACTACAGAACTGAGGTGGCATAAAGAAGGATCAATCCCTAACTGGTTTGACTCAATAGATAAAGCATCTGCCTGTGGACTGAAGGGCCCCACATTTGATTCCCCTTTAGGGCATGGTGCTGGGTTGCAGGCTTGATCCCCTGTATGAGACAAGCAGGAAGCAGCCAATCAATGATTCTCTCTCATCATTATTGTTTCTATCTCTTTTTCCCTCTCCCTTCCTCGCTGAAATCAATACAAATTAAAAAAAAAAAAAAAAGGGATCAATGGCACTGTATGCTCTACAAGATGTGGTAGTCCCAATACCACCTACTTTACTCCTTTGTATAGGATGTGCCCCCTCGCCCCCGGCCCCACACACACATGCAAACATGCACTGGTCTCCATGGGTCAGAGACCTCCTTCAGGAGTGAGGGATGTTCTCCATATCCAGACATAAGCAAATACTTAGTCACTGGGCATTCTTCCCTCTGCCCTCAAACTTCACTTCCATGTGAATATCTAGCCCTACTTCCTTCCCAGATATACCAGAAGTAGACAGTCCACCTTCTACAGCCAGAAGGCAGATGCTCTCTTAGTTTTTCTGTGTGTGTGTGTTTTCTAAGAATAGTAACAAAAGAAGATGCCCACCACACTTTTATCCTTGAAGGCTATCCACAACAAGGTGAACTTGAAAAGACCATGAGGAAGGAAGCAGAAAGCGCCTTGGTGATCCAGAGATGTATGTTTTACTTTAGCTAATGAAAAGCTGGTCAGCTTATGAAGTCAGTAGGACTTTTTCTTTTCCTTACAGCCTTTTGTCTGCCACCTTCCCCCAGGCTTGTTCTTCATCCACTCCTGTGAGCATCATTGTCACTACACTTCCTTTCTAAGGTGTAAGCTGATAATACATTAACATGCCTTCCTACCACAACCCTAGTCCTATCCACACAGAAAAGTTTTATGGGAACTTCTGCTAACCGTGGACTCTAAATTACTATCCAGAAGCAGAATTACAAACCTCTTGAACAACAAACATAGAGATATTTTGAGTGTTCTAAAATGTCATGCCATGTGGGATTTGCTTGTTCAACCAGCTCTTGAACCAAGCAGGATACTCATTTTTGCACATTTCCTTTATCAGACCATTATACCAGAGCAGATGAAATTCTACTCCTTTGAATAACCACTTCCACTTCTTCCAAAGCCAAAATATGCCTTTCCAAGTGTAACCCATTTTCAAGGGCCATCTGCTTTACCAATATAAGAAGACTCCAAATGGGTGTGCTTTAGATAACTCTGCTTTAGATAAGGATGCTTCTGGGGAGGGAAGACACACTACTATTTACCAGCTGCAGTCCCCTAGATCAGCCCTGCTGAATCCTGTACAATGCACCAAGTGAACTAGGGGAGAAGTAAATGATTTGGTCAGCAACAGACCCCTTTCCACATACCCAGATTCTAACTGGCAGAGATCAAAGGAGTCCCTAGGGCAAGACAGTTCACCCTTTGTGTGACTCACCTACAAAAAAAAACAAAAACAAAAAAAACATACACACACATACAAAGAGAAATGTAAACGCTCTATTTATCCAGTTCCACCAATTGTGGTAAATGCCTGTGCCATCTGGGATGTGCATTTATGTATTTCAATGAAAAACTTAATTGTACCTGAGCAAACACTATAAGCAAAGGTGGTAGAGCCATCTTGACATCTGGGGATGGGTATTCTTTCAGGACTTAAAGATGTTCTCTTGCCTGTGTCAAGAATTTCACCCATATTCCTCTCTCCCTGAGCCACCAGTTTGGTTTGATTGTTCTCACCACTTGGGAAGGTGTTGTCTCCTCAGTCCCCACCTTTCTCAGGCTCCACAAAGCAAGCTATGTCACCTCCTACTGGAAATGAGTACTTATCCCTAAGCCCTTAGAAATTATGCACCTTGCTCCATCCAAAGCCAATGCAAGATCTTTTACCTCAGGCAACAGATTTCTAAATTCAGCTACCTGAGTCTGTCTACAGTGGTTTTTAGAAAGCCCCTCCAACATAAAAATGACACTAATTGAGCATAATTATAAGGACTTAATAGAGCCATATTTCTACTTCACTGCGTTTTTACTATTCTAAGCCCCCAGTATTTTTTCCCTAAATTAGAACTCAAAGCAGTAAGTTAAATGTATACATTGGTAGATCTTTTATTATATGTACAATAACTGTCTTATTAAATTGAAATCAAATACACATATAAGGGAAAGTTCATTTTAAGTACTAACTCACAGAAAAATGCCCAGAGACATAATAAGCAAGGCAAATGTGTTGCTGAGCAACAGAAGAGATAGAGCGCAAAAACCTAGCTGAAAATTAAGGGACAATTTTCTGAAAGAATGGGGTAAACTCAAAGGTACAGATCTTATAGAAGCTGCCCTAAATTTCTTGTGGCATCACCCCTCCCACAGATCAGGCATGTGGGGGTGGGGGGTGGGAATGGAATGTAATTATAAATTAAACATATTCATGAATGCTTGGAAAATTGTTATACACACATACACACATTTTTCTGGGGAATGTTTAATACTCTGTCAGTGAATAAAAAGCCTTTCCTACTATTATGAATATTAAAGAGGGTGATGGGGTTGAGTGTATGCATGTAAAATATTGTTACTTAGATGGTATCTAGTCTCTTGGCTCACTTTACTCTGTTCCCCTCTCCCCTTTCCCTTCTCCTCTTCCTAGGACAAGACAAGCGCTCTGAGCCTCAGCAATGTGGCGGGTGTGTTCTATATCCTGATTGGAGGACTTGGACTAGCCATGCTGGTTGCCTTAATCGAATTCTGCTACAAATCCCGTAGCGAGTCCAAGAGGATGAAGGTGGCATCGTCTTCCCAGGCCTTTTCCCCTATCCTGTTGTATTACACAGCTATGTTTCCTGGGATTCTCCCTATTAGAAAGGGTGGGAGTGACAGGAGGTTGAGGTCAGCCCAAGACAGGGTGAGAAAGCTGCTATGAGGAAGGTGACAGGGAAAGGGATAAAGGAAAGGAAAGAATGGAAGGAAGGGAAGGGAGGAAGGGAAGGGAGGAAAAGAAGGAGGGAGGAAGGGAGAAAGATGGAGGGAGCAAGGGAGGGAAGAGGGAGGGGAAGGGGAAAGGGAAGGGGGAAACGGGAAGTGGGGAAGGGGAAGGGGAAGAAAACAGTAAATATAAAGCCCAAGAAAATAACTTTAGCCAAAGACGGAAAGTGAGATTAAAAGTTGAGTTAAAGTGGACAGTGAACACAGCATGAGGCAAGAGTGATGGCTACTAAGGTAGATTCTTGCTGAGCTTGCATTAATAGGAATGTAGCTCCCAATATAGGGGAGAGAGTTCCACCCTCTGCAAAATGGATGATCTTGTCATGCTTGGTGAGTTAGATCTTTTCTTAGCTACTACATTGTAAGACAAGCTTTGGCAAAGAACATCATGCACATAAAAGGCTAAAAAGATTCACTAGATAACCCCAAACCACATCGAATATAGCTGAAGGCAACCAACTGGAAAAAAGAAGAATTATAGAGGATATGAAAATTACCTATAAAAATATAAAGATTTTTCAAGTGGGAAAGAAAACAACTAGTTCTGTGGGATCTAAAAGTGTACAAGAATTAATGATCAAAAACTATAGAGAACAGATGTTAGCACAATAAGAGAGATCTGCTTTCTTTCAGATATATCCAGAAATGGAATGGACTGTCCCAAAAAGTAGCATGCACCCCATAACTGGAGCCATACAAGTAGAGGCTAAGTAACTCTTAGCAAAAATATAGACTGAAGTATACAAAGGGAGTTGGATTACATGACCTTCAAGGCCCCTCACATTTCATCATTTAGTTTCAATAGGAAAATATTTATAGAGGTGTTAGTAATGGGAATAAAACCATGAGCAAGACATCCTGATGAAACAGAAAGGAGTTAGATGCAACCTGTGGCCTTCAGCACCTTCAACAAAGACTGACACAGAAAAAGTACTCAGAGAAGCAACCTATGGTATAGATAGGAAGTCCTACAGCAATATAGAGGGAAAAGAAATTAGAGAAGTCTTCCAGGAAAAGGCAGAAATTAAGAGGGAGCATAAGTAGGATTCCAACCAACAGAAATAGAGACAGGCATGGTCACTCTGAGCTATGCACTCTAGGCTGCTGCCTTGACTTGACTAGACTAAAAAGATTCATTGGTAGGGTTGACTTTTCTAGAATGCACCCTAAGGTGCCCATTTTACAATATGCAAGTGCTTCCACACTCACCACACCCACTATTAAATCACAACCAGAGACTTCTGCCATCAGGCCTACACATCTCTAAGATCATTCTTAGAGAAGATATTGCTGGGCATTTATTTCCCTTGTTTGGAAACTCTGTATTCAGCTCTGTACACAGAAACTTTAAGTTTGGGGAAGAGGGCCTTCTGTCCTGGCATTCAGCATTTCCATATCATGGCTCCATCCTAGTTTCCCTTCCCAGGCAATCTGCTCTCCTTGCATACTCCATACTCCAACTACACATCTATGATTTCCACTCATGTGCCTTTACACAAGCTCTTCTAGTCTTCTGTCCCATAGGGCCCATTCAAAAGGTGACTTTCCTAAGATATAAAGACAGGAACAGTTAAGGGGTGGCAGTGTGAGTATTTGGTCAAAGGTTCTAGAAACCCCTTAATCCTACCTCTGACCAATTCACCCACTACCAGGTTTAAGAACAACACATAGCAAAAGCATGGGCCTTAGACCTTAAACCTAGACTAGATTTCCAAAGGGTTTGGCTAAACACAACAAGGTCTCCTAGAACCTACACAAAGCTTCCTTTGCCTATTATATCATAAGGACTCCCCTAACTTACCCTTTAAAGTGACAAAAGGTCACTCAAGATACAACAAGGGGAACAGGAGAAGAGTTAGGTGAACTGCAGCTTTCATAACTCCCCAAAATCCTCCCATGGACCATAATCTAAACCACTGGGTTTGGGATTGCCCAATACCCATCACAGCAGCTCTTTCTTACTGCTCCCTTAGGACACAGTGCAATATAATGGTCTAAAGCACAGGCTCTAGAATCTGAATGTCTGAATGTAATCCAACTTGCTCTATTTATTAACTGTGTCATCTTAGATAAGTTTCAATAGCTCTCTGATACTCATTTTCTGCAAAATGGAGCTAGTGGTAGTTCAGACCTCATAAAATTATTGTGACAATTATATGAAAAAAATGGACATAAAGAGCTTAGCAATATGTCTGGACTATAGTAAGCCCTCCATAATAACATATGCTAGTCATTGCTCAACATTGGTGATGCAGTTGGGAACAAAACAGACACAGTATCTGCTCTCAGGACACTGAGAGTTTGATGAAGAAGACAGAAAATAAGCAAATACACGTATCCAATAAGTGTTACAAAGAAAAATGCCCAGTGCAGTCAAGTTGTGATCAGGGAATGGTGGCTGGGCAGGTCAGAAAGCCTTCCTTGAGAAAGCAATGTTTAACATCTGAAGTATGAAGGAAATTCATGGAAAGAGAGTTGCAGGAAACATTGCACAAGTGCGAGAGACCCAAACACCAGAACACTTGCCCAGAGATCAGAATAAAGCCAGGGTGACCAGGATAAAGGAAGTCGGAGGGAAGAGAAAAAATATAAGAGTTGGGAACTCAGAGTTAGATTCGGGAAACCAGAACAGTTGTATCTAATTTAAATTGTCATAAAGCAGCAAAGTATAACCTAAGACAAACTCCAAATTGGATTCTCCACTTCTCACATCTTCCACTTTTCCCTCTGCCTGGAAAATAGACCAGAACCTGAGTTCTTATCTGCTCCCAAAGAAAAATAACCTCCAGCTCTCCTACCCCCAGAAAGCTGCTGACCTTTCATAATTGCATGTGGCTATACTAACACAGGTCATGTTTAAGCCACCACAATTGAGGCTTTGCACATTTCTGTGGAATTAATGAGCAGCTGAGAGACCTGGTGATGCTTGAAGGGAGGATAGGAGGGTGCATCCATCCCAGCAGTTGGTTACTCTGGCTCTTAGCACACGCACTAGGATAGAGTCATTGCTGAGGTTTGAGCTTTTATTGGGGTGCTTTATGACATGTGGAGCCTGGACAGACTTTTCTTAGAAAACAAGCATCTGAGAAGTTGGGATGAAATCACTGTTATGAGAAATGAAATGAGCCAACTTTGAACTTTTTACTCACTCTTTTCTCCCTGAGTATCAATTTCAAAACAATATCTCTAAGGATTACATTTAAAAACAGTTGGTATGTCAAAAGTAGACAAGGGAAAACCACATTTCCCTAAGGCAAAAAGGGAAACTGCTTTTGCTTATGACAGATTAGTACGGGGGGTGGAGCAGAAGAACCACAGTTAAAAGGCACTAGACCCCATAACTGTAAGCTTAAGCAAGTCAGTCATAAGTCCTCAGTTTCTCTATAAAGTGAATGAAATTACCTAGATCAGTATATATCAACCTTGCTTATATAATTGAATCACCTGGGAAGTTTTTAAAATTCAAGATATATAAGACACACACTATCCTGTCAAGTCAACATCTTTGGGATTAGGTCTCAGGCTTCAATGCTGTTGTTAGTTATTGTTTTCCAAAATTTCCCAAGACTCCAATGTGCAGCCAGTTTAAACTAGTGAGCTAGTCATTTTTAGCATTGCTTTCCACTCCAAAGTGTGGGCTCTCTTCATCTCTTCTCTTGAGATCCATAAAAGTGTTAGAAAGGAAACCAATTATCAGGCAGTACCCACCACCAATAGATGTTAGAGGGTTTTAACTACATCTTGGGCTATGTTCTCTCACACTTTGATAGGCAGCAATGCTGACTGTGCCACCAATCTTTTCCTTTAAGATAAATTGAATAAGTACTACCAACTTCAATGGGAATGTGTGAGACCTTTTCAGAAACAAAGCCCAAGATCATTAGAATGAACTTTATACTTTTTGTTTTTAATTAAAGGGGTGAGATAGAGAAAAAATAATAGGAGGTAGACATTTCAAGTTAATCTATAGACGTTTCCATATTTTATAAACACATACAAAGTTACTTTCTTTTCAACATTTTTAGGTGAGAATAAGTAACCATTAATACTTCATGTTTTCATTTCACATTTCCCCCATAGAGCATTACAGTGGTATTTATTTGGCCTTGACTTAGAAGAATGCAATCCAACCTTCCTTTTCAGTGGAGGACAACCAAGACAGAATATAAATAAATCAACTCTGAGGGTTTGAGGAAGAGACAAAGCCAGTGTGGGTGGAACATCATATGGGGCAAGTTTGTCTGAATCATTTTAAAAAGAAATAACATTGAAACACATTGACAGAATTGCCAGTAATAAGAAGATATTCCTAACAAAGTATTGCAGAAAGAACAAAAATTGGGTCAAAACTGCCCTGGTTAGTCAGTCTGGCCAAAGTAGGTAGACATTCTTCTTGGGTCACTAGAATATAATGATATGCAAAAGAGAAAGCCATACAATTTTTAAGAAGGATCCTATGTGGTTGGGTTTTCTTAGACAAAATTCAAGAATATCGATTAAGCATCTTACTATAAGCTGGACACTGTTGGAGATAGTTAAGGAATAAAAAGATTTGGTCCTTGCTTCTCTCCAGATAGCTCCCTTAAAGAAGATGAAACTTACATACCTGAAGCAGAACTGTTACAAGAGAGTGCATAATGTATGAGTACTAAGGTGAGGAAGTCCAGCACTTACTGGTACAGTCTAGGATGGCTTCAAGAAAAATGTGAGAATGGAATACAGGATGAGCAGGGTTGGCCTTCAAGAAAAAAACCTCTCAACTTATAGATAATTCTTCTTTATACTGATTCCCACCAAAACACACACACACAAAGCCAGCCCCACCTCAAAAATTCTATGAGGATAATTTAATAGGAAGTTAAGAGAGGAAGAAATACAGGTTTGGAATTCATATCATTCATATCATAAAGTTTCTTTCTCCAAAGGAACTCAGAACAGCACCCTTCCTCTTGTCTAGAAGGTTTTAACCCTATTTTGTATTCTTGAACATTCCCCCTAACTCATCTGATCTTTGGGTGATTATTGGAATCGTTTTCATATCTAGAATTCCAATAATCTAGAAATCACAAAGCTTATAAGCACTGATCTGAAGTCAACCTGGAATTGCAGGTGATATGTACTGATAGGAAGCAATTGACAGATAATGATCCTTGCATTGCATTCGCATTTTCTTTAGCACATACCCCTTTGCAATTACTTTTTGCCATTTGTATTTTTCAACTAAGTCCTACATTCCCTTAACACATGCTGCCAACAGTAGGATAGCATTTCCCCTGAAGTAAATTAGAGAAAATTTTTTATTTTAATCCAACAATAACACAGCCTTAATTTTTAATATTTTAAATAATTGTTCACATAGTGGCATCACTCTTGCTAATAAAAGCCTGTAGGTACATACATAATCATATTTCATAAACCTGGAGATTTTAATGGTCTAGAGAGGTAAGAAGATATGCACAGGGTCACATGAATAGCGGATGTCAGAACTAGAACTAAAATCCAAGTTTTCTAAACCCCATTTCCAGAGCTTTTCCATTTGGTTCATGTTGCTACATTATCATCAATACAACCATAGAACTATTTCACCTTTAGAAAACACAGAATATAAGAACCAGAAAGGATTTTAGAGATCACCCGGTCCAGCAAACCTCATTAAACAGAGAACTTAAGATCCAGACAGGGGACCAGACATTTCCAGAGCTGTGCAACAGTTTTGTGAGGTCATGGGAAGACAAAATTAGCATTACAGAACAGGAAGGGAGTTGGATGGGTGAAAGGATAGGGGTGACATTTTAAGTCCATTGTTGACTCTTTCTCCTTGCCAATCATTGCCAAGGACCTGGGGAAGAACCCCATGGTCCTCCTGAAAAGGGTTTCTGTTTGATCCCACAGCAATCCATCAATGAAGCCATACGGACATCGACACTCCCCCGAAACAGTGGGGCAGGAGCCAGTGGTGGTGGTGGTAGTGGAGAGAATGGCCGAGTGGTCAGCCATGACTTCCCCAAGTCCATGCAATCAATTCCCTGCATGAGTCACAGTTCAGGGATGCCCTTGGGAGCCACAGGATTATAACTGGAACAGATGGAGATCCCTTGGGGAGCAGGCTCGGGCTCCTCCAACCCCACCCCAAGCCCTTCAGTGCCAAAAACAACAAAATGAAACGCAAACCGCCACCAACCACTATGACCACAAGGAGGAGGATTCAACAGATTTTCCTGAAGAACTGAAAACCATTCTGCTATCCCTTTTCCTTTTTTTGATGTTCTTTCACCCTTTTCCGTTGCTAAGTAAGGATGATAAATCACACTGCACTGCAATAAGGGGAAATAACCCTATCTAAAAGAGCTTGTGTCTCTGACAGTAATGTCATCAGAACACTAATGAGGAAACTATTGTTTTCTTTAATTCATTTGTTAATGTGTCTTAGTGTGTGCAATTTTTTCTTACTAATACTTGTGGTTTGCAGGTTCTGTTAGGCCCCTTCCTTCTCCTTACTTCTTATTCCCAACTCCTTACCCACCCCTCTTTAGTTTTCAGATTGGAGATTGGAGGTTTGTTCTACCTTACAAGCAAAAGGAAAAAAAGCAATTTTCGAACTAATTCATCATGAGAGCTCTCCAGTTACCCTCTAGCCTATGGCTCCAAGCCCTGGATGGAAATGGAGGTCACTGAAGGAGGGAGCTGCTTTCCCCAGACAAAGCACTGCCTAAACATTGATTTAGCTGAGAATGCGTTTGAAAAGCAAGTGAGACCAAGGATGGCGGAGAGGGCAAAGGCAAGTGTGCACTCAGAGGAGACTCATGGAGTTATTGCTGGGAGCCAGATAAAGCTTCCTTTAATGTGTAAGAGCCATCTCATAGGCCTTAGGTGGAATGCTATATTTCTTCACAGAGTCAACCTCCACCCTGAGAAGTATGTCTTTCTAACTACATTCAAGCCCAAGGGCAATTGGCCTCCTGAGCCAAATAGACACTTGGGAACAGCTGGCAGCCAGGAAGATAGCACCCATGATTTTCGCTTCTCATTTGCTTAACATCTGAGCAGGAGCCCCACTGAGGAATAGACTCTTTCTCTTTGAAGCCTCTGATATGAGGGAAAATGCTATGCAAGCTAAATGCAAAAGAAAGGTAATGAAAGAATTTTGGAAAAGGAAGCTTCACTGAAGCCCAAAAGCAATAGAACCTTCCATGATGCGCCATCTCTTTGGTGAGAGGCTGAATATGATGCTTAGGGTTTCACTAACCCAGAGAACTTGGGTTTTCATGTCCATATAAAGTGTTACTTTAGCATGTGGCCAGACAATTTTCTAAAAAGTAAAATACCCAATGCTTTATTATTGATACTTGGAGGAAGAAAAGGAGATGGATTAAATTGATGACATTGAGGTCGTTAAGATCCCTGCCCCAACTTTTAAGCCAAGGAGGCAGACCTTCCCCCCAGTTAAAACAGAATGGAGATGTTACATTCTGGTGACCAGAGTCAATACACCCAAGATCATGAATACAAAACTAAACTAAAGCAAGACTGGAGAGGTGACAGGGCTTGTGGAGAGAAGCCCAGGCAGACTGCAATTTTGGTTGGGAGGGTGCAGTTCCTAGCACATGGCTTTCCTGGAGATCCTAACTATCACTCTTGGTGCAATTGGCTTCCAGCTCTCCAGCAGCCATCTCCTAGGTGCATGATTCAGTGTGTGCCATGTGTCATTAGCTTTTATTGATAACCATATTCTGGCTGTTCCCTTATCCCCAACTTCTATCCAGTCTTCTCTGCTAGGGGTTATCATTAGCAATTGACAAACTAATGGTTTTGAAGCCTGCCTACAAATAGGCAGCATGATTGGTTTCATCTGTAGATTCTCTCAGTGGACACCCACCACCTCTATATCCTTCCCATTCTTCTTTCATCAGCCATAGCAAAGAATCATTCCAAAATCAAACTCTTTGCCCTTTCAACTCAAGTGTTGTTCAGTCTCTCACATGTCCATGTGGGAATGGTACATGAAGCAAGACCCTTGAGATGGATTATCACTTTTCACTATTGCCAGCTGATGTCCTCCCCAGCCCCTGCCCCCTTGACAGATTTTTCTCAGCCCTTATCCTACCACTTCAGAATCTGTTATGACCTGCCATAAGGGAACCTACATTTCAGAAGAGTTGGAAATAACCCTGTACCATTAACATGCTTCAAAGACCTTTTGCCTTTGGCCTGGTAGGATGACTCTCCAGCTACTGAGATCACCAGTAACATGATCTGATGGTGAGAGGCAATCTGTGCTAGAAATGAAGGTCTTTGCTAAGTGGGGGTCCAAGACTCCAATGGAAGATATTTTTTTTGTCAATGGAGAAGTGACAGGGAAAAACAAAAGCAAGGGGGTAAAAGTTAACTTGTATTATGTATTTTTACTACACTTTTCTTAAAAATAGAACAATGGGAAAACGCTGAAAGATTGACATTTTTCTCAACAGGAACCCATACTTAACAGTTCTAGCTTTCATTAAATTTTGCTCTTTGGTACCTGGGCCTTTTATTTAACACCTATATTTGTTTTAACTCTCTTGGCAGATGTGTGGAAGGACTTTTGCTTGATCAAACACTAAATATTTTTTTTTGTTTCTGTTGGCTTTTTTCCAAGTAGCCAGGTTTATTTTTTTTCTTCTTTTTGCATTTGCATAAACTGAAAATATCACCGAGAATTAAATCACTGTGGATCCATTATCTACTTTTCATATTTGTTCATTCCATTGTGTCATTTCTGAAGCCAGAGCTCTAGGACTTATGTGATTTCCTTATTGTGGAACCAAAGTCCACAATTTTTAATGGTGGTTACTATGCATGACTCACAAACAGATCTCAAACAAATCACTTCAGCTGAACTGAATTGTTGTGAGTTATTCATCCAAATAGGATAGCAAAAAAAAAAAAAAAAAAAAAAAGACAGAGAGTGGTATCTTATTTTCAAGGGCTATAGTTACAATTGCATAAGGAGCCACTTGCAAGTCATAATACCTCTAGGGAACAGGTTGGCTCACAGGGAATGTCTCTCAGACATCCCCAAACTGGAAGCCAAGTGATGTTCAGAGAATCACAAGAAAACCAAATCTAGACCAGGTTTCTAAGTAGATAATCTTGGTCCTCAGACCACATGACCCTAATTCTTGCCTGAAAGCTTTTCTTTTACTCAAAAAAGAGGGCTCCTGTGAAGAATCTGACATTTGTTGACACTTCAATATTGAATAGCTCCAAATGTTTTCTTTCCTAAGGAATGCTACATATTAATATGGGTCAAAACTTTAAAATAAATGAAAAAAGCTCTAACAGTGGCATTTCAGGTAACAATTACCATGATAAAAAAGGAGGGAGGAGAGGAGAGGAAAAGAAACTAACAGACTTGTAGTAGCTCCAGGCATTGTAGTCACCTCCATTCAGGGTGACATTGAATAAAGAAGCAGGTAACACCAACATGAGGAGAAAACTGATCACCTTACCATCAAATAGTTGGGACAATTATAATGGCTATAAGAACACTTATTAAGAACATACTATATTAAGCATACTTAATACCCTTTTATATCATGACAATGATCTCTAAAGTAGGGCCTTACAAAAGAACTCAGATTTAAAGAGATGACATTAACTTGCTCAAAGTCCTGTGACAGAGCCAGGATTTGAACTGGGTTTGCTCAAATCCAAAGCCTTTATGTTACCCACCTCTCTGTTAACCAAACTATGATGCATGATAATCAGAAAAATAATAGGCAAACAGTTTTCTACCTTTCCGTTATGCCAAAGTAACTTAAAATGGTTAAAGCTACACTTGTCACACCTTTGGGAAGGTCAGCCTATTCTATTGGGCATAAGAGCTTACTAATCCAGACAAAATTGCCAAAGGGAAGAAGAGGAAAAAGAATTTCTTTAGCCCCTTTAAAATGGATCCAGGCCAAGAGACAGCAAGGAAGATGGGGAACTGAAAAGCAAGTCCCCTGCAGAATAATTGATTCAGCCTGGGGAAGGATTCTCAGGGCTGTTCTGAAGAAATGAAACTATATGTCTGTGTGTACAAGACCATGATCAGTTCTGGGGGTTACAAGCCAATGCATTTAGCACTCAGCTAAAGAGAGGAGTTCCTAAATAAAAGCATAATAAATAAATAAATAAATAAATAAATAAATAAATAAATAAATAAAATCGTGTTCTTAACAATCAAAGTTTCCCCATGAGAATATTAGGCTAATTCTGGAGTTGGGATAAACCCCTATCAAGGAGACTCTGCTGGTGTAAAAGTTGATATATACATCCTCTACTTTTCCTTGTCTTGCATATTTTATAGCCCTATTCAGGTTATCTGATCAGTAGCACTCTAATATATACCAAGAGGGAGTCATCCAAGCCCTACAGAAATGACAATGGATACCTTTCACTAAAATAATGTCAAAAATCAATTTATCCTAATTGAGAGACAAGATGGCAAGTTCCTTTCTTACCAAATGCTAATGTTCTCTATAAGAAAGAAGGTCTATGGAAGTCCTGGGGAAGAACCCCATGGTTAAATCCCACTTTACAGATAAGAAAACTGAGGTTCTTGAATAAGAAGCTACTTCCCCCAAGATCACCTTGTGAGTAGAGAAGCAATGTAGTACCGTGGAAAGGCCAGAGATTATAGGATTCACATTACCTGGCTTCTCCTTATTCGTGTCAACTTTAAGCAAGAAAATTAAATACTCTGACCTCATTTTCCTTATCAAAGAATTGGGACATCTGATGTCAAAATAGGCAGTGATTCTCATCCCTAACTGCACACTGGAATCACCTAGGGAACTTTAAACAAACTCACCAACCCCCAAAATCCTTCTCCAAATACAGTTTGCTTGAATGAAGGCATAGTTGTTTTATTGAAGCTTCATTTGTTTTGAACAATCATGTTATTATAATGTGCAGCCAGAATTGACAATCACTAAATTGGGCCATCCAAAGAAAATGCTCATGAAAACATCATTGAAAATTACAAAGCACTATTATTAGTGGTATTTTACCAACACTATAAACCAGGTTACCTGATGACAGTCAAATCTCCATGGTCCCAAGAGGAAAAAAATGCCTTTATAATCATCTGATAAAAAAGAAGAAAAATACATAGGTCCCCAACTTGGGCTCTGAATGCTACTTTATCAATTAGGTATGTTTATAATAACATTCTGTTAGGGGAAGACAGAAACACAAGACATCAGGAATAAAATACAATCATCAGAGGTACATCCTCAGGAAAGGGAAGGTTCAACTTTGTGAAATGAGTCAGCCTTCAGCACAGCCAGTTATTTTCCAAACTATGTGGCTTTTTCCATTAAAGTCACCAAATCCCACCACCTGCATTTTAAACAGTCTATCTGAAAGCATTGCCTATCAGATTCTTCCTTCATGGGCACTGTGAATCCCACTGGTGACACCTTTAACTTCTCTTTGATATTATGCTAGGATTTCTTATACCTTTCATTTAGCCCTTTGTTCACAGTATTGTAAGGTAAGGATTTATTATCCCATTTACATACAAGGAAATGAAAGTTCAGAGAGGTTCAGAAACCAAGGTCATTCAGCCAACCAATGATTTGGCCTGGATATTAATCCAAGTCTGTCTCTCTCCAAAGTCACTGCCTTTCCACCTTTTGTACTACCTCGTAAGGAGATTTTACCACCCTTCCTCCCTTGATCACTCTTTTCTAGCTACCCCAACTTCTGTCATGTTCCTCAAACATGCCACACTTAGTTCCATCCCAAGGCCCTTGCACCTGCTGTCTCCTTTGCTTGGAACTCTCTTCAACCAGATCTTTGTGAAGCTTCTTATCAACTATGTCTCAGCTCAAGATGCCATCTGCCCGGAACAGCCTTTCCTCTCCATCTTATCCAGATTAGCTCTGAAATCACTTTCTCACAATATTCATCACCACCTAATAATATCTTGTTTATTTGCTTATTATATCCCTCTTTCCACCTAGAATATACATTTACAAGACCAGGGATATTGTCTTCCACAAGCATAAT